GAGAGGGGGGCGGGGCAGGAGCGGGGCAGGATGGGGAGCCAACAAAAACGGGAATGGGGCAGGATGGAGAGGAGGGTCAGGACGGAGAGGGGGTAACGTGGAGGTCACGTGGGGCAGGATGATGGTGGAGACTCTCACAGAACAAACAGGGGCCAGCTCAGGACAGAGCACATGCAGGGCTGGGAAGTCCAGATCTCCCCAATCTGGTGCACTGCCTGTGGCTGGGTCCTGGTGGTGACCACCGACCTCATGCTGTGTGACAGAACCAACCCCTGCCCAGTCCAGCACCAGCCACGGCCTGCCATTCTGAGTCACCGTCACAGCCCCTGCTGCTCACCACAATGACATGACCGGAGACTCTGGCGTTTCTACAATATTCTCTCACAAGGACATTTAGACCAGGAAAAAAACCCAAACCAGCCACTGAGTGGCAATTCACCATCGTGGGACCGAGCACCAGAAGCCAGGACGTGACTGTACCTCGTGACTGTCCCTGGTGTCAGGACGCACGAACACTGCTCAGGTGTAGGTATTCGCCCAGGTTCTCAAAGACCGGTCACGCTCAGAAGCAGGCCAGTGCTCGAGCATGGGGCCACCCAAGACCTCCAGCTCCACTCCACTGGCTGTGTTGCGGACGGGCTGTGGGGAAGACACTGGACAAGGGCCACGGAAGCTGGTGAACGTCCAGGCACAGCCATGGCATGCCTACACCCATGCCACCTTGCTGGAATTTGGGGACAGACACCATGTGAGGCCACACCTTCACTTAAACCTGGATCCCCACGGCCATGCGGTGCTGAAACACATCGGAACCAACCACGGCACAGACTGAAGGCCAGAGCGTCACACTCGGGGGACAACAGGTCGCACAGACTATGGGATTTTCACAGAGACACGGGCACGTCTGGCACAGACACCTGCCAAGAGCTGTGGCTGACACTCAGGAGACACCACGTGAGACCCAGTGGAGAAGCCTGAGCTGTCAACACCGAGGCCCTTGGAACCAGTGACTGCCACCATGTGAGTAACAGGCCGGAGGAGGCTGTCCTGCCCTGAGGGACGCCACCCAGCTTCTAACTCAGCCCCCTCGGCCTAGCGACAAGCCCAGCTCTCAGTGACCTTGACTCCTCACATGTTGAGGGGACAAAATGCAGCCTTGGTCAGATTCGTCACTACTCTCACTACTCAGCCTCTAACTGAGCAATTAAAATGATTCTTGACGACTTTTTCAAGGCCGAAGAAGATCGTTTCTGAGCACTGAACTGCCCCACTGCCCGTGATCCCGGGCCAGGCTGACCCACAGGCACTGTGGAAATCACGCATTTTGGCTCACCCAGCGGGAAATGAACTGATCTGACAAACTGGGGGCTTAAGCTGTTGCCCAGCAGCAACCAGGATGGGCACGGTCATTTCGGGCATCCTTGGCTGGGCAGAGGAAGACCCTTAAACGGAAGCTTCAGGAAAGCACCCGACACGACAGTGGCTGGGAGGATGGGGCAGAGGTTTGTTCTGTCATATGTGGGTCTCTGGGTCAGAACTGACTCGCTAGCCCCTAACAAAGCAGGCCTGGCACTGGTCGCTGCAGTGTGGCCTTTTGAAATGTCTGGGAAACCAACCATCATCCATGTACCTGCCAGCACGAGCGCCTCCCCAGCATTTAACAGCCAACCCGCCCGAATCGTTTTCCATATGTGCTCGGAAAGCTTGGCCTGGAGGAGGCCCAGTCCGGGAGATGGCCCAGCCCAGAGGAGGCCCTGGCCCTAGAGGAGGCCCCAGTCCTGGAGGAGGCCCAGCCCAGGAGGAGGTCCCAGCCCCAGAGGAGGCCTTGGCTCAGAGAAAGCCCGGTCCAGGAGATGGCCCGGCCCAGAGGCGGCCCTGGCTTAGAGGAGGCGCGGCCCAGAGGAGGGAGACCTGGTCAGGAGGAGGTCCCAGCCCTGGAGGAGGCCTGACCCAGGAGGAGGCCCCAACCCTGGAGGAGGCCCAGCCCAGGAGGAGGGCCTCGGCCGCTGTGGCCAGAACGCAGAGGCCGTCTGAGCCCTGGGGTCTACACTCACCGATCTGCAGCAGGATGGGTGTGACCAAGGCCGTCTCCATGGCGTAGCAGAACTCCCGGCCGAACATGACAGCCCCGTGCATGACCCAGAGGCGCAGGGGCACGCGGTCGATGGAGCCCTGGCTGCCGGTCTCGTCGGGGGGCTCGGCCTCGCTGCTGGCCGGCTTCTGCGGCTCCGGAGAGGGCACAGACAACTCCTGAACTTGCATAGACTCTGGGTCGGCATTCTGTGGGGCCATTTTCATCACCACAAAAAAATATAGCTATCTCTCTCTATGCGTATATATATTTACTCTACCTATATAAATAATACTATGGGGTAGCTCTGTGGATAAATTAAGACGTCTTCTCTCCGCTTGGCTGTGTCCCTCGGGCAGGCAACACTTGGATTCGTCTCAGTACAAACAGGTATTTCCCACTGCTCACAGTCGTGGGACGTGCAGCAAAGCGGACCAGGTTTTGGTTGGATTTTTAAGCATATGGCTTGCTGGTTTACTGTGAATCAGAGTTAAAAATCCATAATTGCCATTCAGTTAATACCAGTTTCATCATTATTACTGAAGAGGTGCTGAAATGGCTCTTCTTGCAACAGACAGGCGAGCAGGTGACACAAACAGGTGACTGGCTGTGAATCCCCATCGAGTGGCTGGTTGACCTGCAAGAGAGACCGCAGAGAGGGGAGGTCAGAGGCAGTAGTGCCCGCCATCCCACCCACAGGCAGCAAGGGCTCCCCGCAGACTGGCCGGGGTCCTTTGCTTGCTGGTGCTTGAGCTCTGATTGGCTCTGTGGACACAACACAGTCTTGTTTCCTGAGAAACAAGGAATTCTCGGACGGGACTTAATCCTGGTGAAGGAGAAAGAGCGTGGCAGAGGGGCCAGAGGAGAAGAGCGGGTGGTAAAGAGAGCCAGGGGACCAGACACACACCGCTGCCCATCTCCCGGCTGGCGCTGTGCCCCTGGCCACTTGGACAGGTTGTGCTTCATGGCACCCGTCCTGCATTAGGTTTTCACAATCTGTTTTTCTGACTAGTGGAGGGTCTGTGGCAGGCCTGTGGCGAGGAAGTCCACGGGCACTGTTTCCAGCAGCCTGTCCCTGCGTCTGGGCCTAACTCTGGGCTTTCTGCAATGCTTCACTGTTTTCACCATGCTGCTGCCACCTAACTCCTGTAGTCCACTGTGACAGCTTTTCTACACATGGGAAAGCAAGAGACCACGTGTGGCTCACTTCACTGCGGCGGCCGGGAACCAAACCACAGGGGCTCCTGGGTCTGCACACCTGTCACGTGGCCACTGGACCAAGGGGCCTGCAGATGACACGATGAGGAGTGTGGCAGGGGTGGGGGGAGGAAGGCAGAGGCGGACAACTAGGAGAGCTGGGAAAAGGGGTCCTCTTGGGATTTCTGGAAAGGTGGCACTGAACTGAAGACAAGGCACGACGAGGCAGGCCGCAGCCCACCATGGCGGGAAAGGCCAGTGCGACCTTCACTTGGCAGCCCTGGAGCTCAGCCCAGGTTCCGGAGGCCAGGGCCCTGGCCTTTCCAGGCCACAGAACCTTTGGGGTTCCAGCTGTTAAAGGTCCAGGTCCCTCTCCAGGAACCGGCCCACCCTGCTACATTCTGAGTCTGCTCTCTGGACCTCACAGGTCGCATATCCACCCTGGAATCCTGAGGGCTCAGGACTCCCAGGACCCGGCTGGGGGACACACGACCTGGACAGATGCACCTGAACCAAATGCTGGCCACCTAGAGCATGACCAACTAGAAACTCCTCAAGGAACATTTTAGGGAAATGTGGTCCATGTCCTCACGTCCCCTCTGCCCAAACCTCTCCCTGACCCCATGGCCGCCCCAACTCAGCCTGTCCCGCTCCTCAACCCCATGGCTGCCCCTCTTCCTGCTGGTCTCTCTCCCCGACCCCGTGGCCACCTCCATTTGACCTGTCCCTCTCCCTGACTGTGTCCCCCCCAGCCTGTCCCTCTCCCTGACTCTGTGTCCCCTCCGCCTGTCCCTCTCCCTGACTGTGTCCCCCCCGGCTTTCCCTCTCCCTGACTCCGTGTTCCCTACAGCTCTCAACTGCCTGACTCTCTCACTCTTCCCACCTGGCCCACCCCCCCACTCCACAGAAGCTCAAGGAGGCAACAAACAACCCTCTGACATGGGCTGTGAGGCGGACTGTCCTGGGTGGCCCTCCTGCCCCTGAACCCGGGGACCGGTGCTGGGCAGGGCTGTGTCCTCACTGTGTGGCCCGGGGGAGCGGGACTCACCTGTTATTCGAGTGGTCTATACATCAACACAGCAGCCTTCCTTCGACACACAGTGCACACTTGCGGACAGCGGACTCACAGGCAGTGGGTCTACACCGGGAGCGTCAATGTCATCTACGTGGACGAGAGCACATGGTCAGCACCGCCGCTCAGCGCTGGGCAAGCAGCAGCCGGGGCACATCACCAGGTGACTCTTCCCTCACGGCCTCGCCTGTGCGTGACGTCCACGCAGAGGCCGACGGGGTGACAACACCCACAAAGCAGCAAAGCTTCCTCAGAGCGTTCATGACATTTTCCAAACAGTAACTTGAAATAAGGCCACGTTAACAGCACAAAACACACACCAGCCAGCCCTGTGCTTCTCTAAAGACAGGGATGCACTGGCCAAACCTGGTTTAACCCTAACACCCCCGAATACAATGTCACCCTGTCCACTAAGTCCCCTTTGCTAAGCCCTGGGGTCCCACAAGCAGGCTGGGACTGCCTCAGCACCCCACTCCATTTCGAAATATGAGTCAGCACCTTGTCAGAGGGAGGACAGGTGCCCGAAGGGTGAGGGTCGGGCTGGGCTGGGCAGTGGTCTGGAGGAAAGTGATGGTCTGCAGGCCCAGGTGAGCACAGGGGACAGGCTGAGCCCCGAGAGGGCACAGGCAAGTTCTGAGGAGTGCGGATCTCCAGCCAGCCAGCTCCAGAGGTGGGGTGCAGCCCTCATCAGTCCCTAGTGGAAAGCAAGACATGCCTGAGGCCGGATGTCTTCCTCTCCTCTCCAGTGGTCACCTGCTGCCCGTTCCCACACGCTGAGGCCTCTCCTTTACCAGACCAAGCTTCCTGTGTTGTCCCAAATCCCGGCCGATGGGGCACGACACGCCCAGGGCTGCTGCAGGCCCACACACACCACGGTTTCTTCAGCATCTGGAGCCCTCTCCTGTCAGCTCTCCCTCAGGGGCTGTTCTGATTATTCTCTAGTATTTACTGACAGGACTCGGGGAGCAAATGGACTCAGCGCCCAGGAACCTTCTCTGGCTGCAGAGCAGGCTCTGAGGGGGTTTCCGGGATGTCTGCATCTCATAAATTAACGGTGGAAATGACACCTCAAGCTGTGGAATCACGCTCTCCGGGCATGAGGGATGGCCTCTCCTCCATTCACGTCCACCTGCGTCTTTCAGGAGCGCCTACAGGGCATGCACTTTTCCAACGGTGGAAACAGAAAGCCAGGCCTTTCTTCGGAGGTACCTGAGTAGCCATGACCTCTAACCTCCCAGGTAACGGCCAAGATCATGAACATCTGCATCACCTGTGACTCCTGAGACCAGGCATGTGCTGCTGTGCGCTGTGCTGTCAACTCTGATGCACAGTGACCCTGCAGGACAGCGTGGAACGGCCCCTCGGCCTCCGACGCTGTGACCAACACGGGTGCTGGGCACCAGGTCTTTTGTTCTATTGAGCTGCTGGTGGGTTTGAACTGCGGACCTTGCTGTGAGCACTTAGCCACAGCAACATCTAATGCTAGGCGACCCCATGAGCAGGAGGAAGTCCCCCTGGGACACTTGCTGGTGGCATGAGCCCACTGTCACAGTCCCCATGCCAGCCCATCTCCGCAGGCCACCAAGGGTCCCGAGACCAGGAGGACCAGACGGTTCTTCCAAAATCCTCTGAGCATGCAAACGGTTTCCAAGGCAACAGCTGCCTATAAATGCCAGCCCGGGAACGTCGGTGCTGGAAACACAGCACTTCTCAGGCGCAGGATGGCAGTGCCCAGATGAGTGGCCCTCTGAGGAAGTCACACTACCCGTTCCGGGAGGCTGCTGCCACCTGTGGTCCTGTGAGCTCGCTGGCCAGGGCAGGGGGGAGGGGCTGTCACTCTCTCTTTGGCCTCCACCCGGAAGGCCAGCACATCCTCCAGAAGGGGTCACGTCTGGTGACAGTGGTCCTGCAATGACTTACCGATCTGTGCAGATAGCGAAACGACAACTGTCCCCATCAACAACTTCCTCTATTGTCCTGTTCTAATTGAAGGGTGACGGTGCCAAGCACGTGACTTCCTCCAACATGCCGTGAGGAAGTGCTTACCGTAAACTTCATTTAATCACAGCAGCCGGGGAAAGGCCTGACGGACGCTCGGACGCTGTGCCCGTACGCTCACCTCCTTCAGCAGGAAGACCACCACCTCTGGTCACCTGCAGTGCCCCCGGGTGGTCCCGAGAAGGGTCATACAGGCCTGCTCTTAATCCCAGGGCGGTCACAGCGTCTGTGCAAAGGCCACTCCAGAACAGTACAGACCTGGTCTGCTCCCTCACGCACACACAGCCTGACACCACAACACCCAAGCGCAGGTGAGCACCAGGTCCACTGCAGGCTATGTGCACTGTGGACAGACAGGTGAGCTTCCCACCCTCACAAGTCTCCATGACCTTGCTGACTATTGACCGTGCCCCTCACCTGGTGATTACGAGCCCTGAGACACTAGGAGTGGGGGACCCAGAGAATGCAGGGCTTGAGGAAGGGAGTCAAGGCTAGGGAAGCACTGAGGTCAAATCCAGCTGGAACTTCCAAGTCCTAAAACGATAGTGACAGCAAGACAGACTTGGGTCACCAGGAGACCACTGCTCTGAGACACTCTTCAAGCCCAGACCCACCCTCTGGCTGCCCAAATAAAGGTCATCGCCCTGAGAACGGGACGCCTTTGGAAAGTCACCATGGAGACCCAACAGCCCGCCTTGGAAACAAACACACGGCTCCCAGCCAGTCTGACCGGCACAGGACTGAGCGCACGGACCCAGAGGCCCCAGCTATAAACGGGCGTGGAAGACCGCTACATCGTTCCCCCAGACTTCCTGGTGGATCCGAACCACTGACCTTTCCGTTAGCAGTCCAGCACTTCATTTGCAGTGTCAACAGGGCCCAGAAATAGTCAACAACGACTTAAACCAAAGAAGAGAATGTAAAGAGACAGAGAAGCCAGATTCCTGAGAACAGGACACC